CTAGTGAAACTCACTGGCTCACAAAAACAAACAGACAGACACCAAGTAGAAGAGAGGCTGGTTGGGAAGAGGTGGGAATCAGCGGGAGTGGGGTTGGGACAAAAGAGGGCGACTATGATTAAAATACACTATGCACAAGTGTGATAATGTCATAATGAAACCTGTTATTATGTGGAACTAATATATGCTAATTTTTTAAGAAGCTAGTCCAGAACCTGCTTTTCAGAATTCCCAGCGTCTTAGGTGAGTAAATTCACTTCCTGCGAGTCTCAAGCGCCAGGAGTCTTTTGGAAGAGACTCACCCAAACCTGCCATCATTGAAGAAGAAGTCTGGTGGAGAGTCCCTGGCTGGGTGTCCTGGCCCCAAGGGGCTTGCAAAAGCTGACCTGAAGATCCTTGTGTGACTTTTCCAGTAAAGAAAAGTTGAAGTGCCTTGTGTGGTTAATTGCCATTTTTGATCTGCTCCTGAAGACAAGCAGAACTGCCAGATGTTGTGGCCCCCACCTGTGATCCAAGCACTCAGGAGGCCGAGGAAGGAGGACTGTTGTGAATTTCTCTGGTCAGCCTGGGCTACAGAGTGAGTTCCAGGTGAGCCTAGACTACGGAGAGATTCTGCCTCAAAGACTAGACCTATTTGGTAAACAGGAGTGACCTTACGTTGGTTATAGAGGTGACGGAGGCTAGAGAGATGGCTCAGTGGCTAAGAGTCCATGCTGCCCTTTGGGACCTGAGTGTAGTTCCCAGCATCCACATCGGGCAGTTCACAATTGCCTGTAATTCCAGCTCCAGAAGGTCTGACACCCACTTCTGGCCTGTGTGGGCACTGCATTTATGTGCATATACCACCACACAGACACACATGCACATACATAATTAAAAATAATGGTGCTGGCCAGGTGTGGTAGCACACGCTTTAAATCCAAGTGCTAGGGAGGCAGACACAGGTGGATCTCTGTGATTTTGTGAAGCCAGCCTGCTCTACAAAGTGAGTTCCAGGACAGCCAGAGCTACATAGTAAGAGTCTATCTCAAAAAAACAAAAACAAAAACAAAAACAAAACAAAACAAAAATAAGCAAATAGATAATAAAACAAAATAAATAAAAATAGTAAGGCTAGACAGATAGTTCAGTGGTCAAGAGCACTTGCTGGACTTACAGAAGACTCAGGTTCAGCTGAGCACAAATTGCTCTTTCATGGGACCCACGTTCGGTCCCCAGCACTCACATCAGGCAGCTTACAACCTCCTCTAACTCTAGTTTCAGGGGATCCGTATCCACTGGCCTCCAAAGGCACCTACATGCACATGGTGCACAGAACTCACACAGACATGCATAGACACACACACACACACACACACACACACACACACACACACACACACACACACCAAATTTTTTAAAAATAGGCTGACTGTAAGCGCAAAGTGTGGGTTTCGGTGGAAAGCTACTGGTCCCCGTGGAGTCTCCGTTCATGTAGCTTCCTCTAGAGTCTGGCTCCTGTGCTCCAAACCAACATTTCTGGTTTCTCTCCCCACTCCCGATTTGGAGTCAGTTCTCACAAGAACTGCCTGCTTATCTGTCTGTCTATCCTCTAATGAGAACTTCTGCTGTCCTTTCCTCCAAGTTCTGAAAGCTGATGCTGAGTGACTTGACTCAGGCTTCATCCACTCACATGTGTGAGCCTGCTGCCCTGGGGCACTCTGAGAACTAACAGGAACCCCCGGCACTGTGTCCAAAGTGTGTCTCCGCTACCCTTACTCTGACCATCGAAAGATGCTGCATGCTAAGAGAAATCTCACCCAGTGGTCCTCTGTGTTCAGCAATGCATTGTTCTCTTTTCATTTTCACATGAACCCCCCCAATTCATGAGGTACATGGCAGCCCATCCAATGGGAAATGGACTTGCATCATTTAAAAGAAAGAAATCTCCTCTTGAAGAACAGGGGACTTGGACTTAGGCTGCTCCCTGCTCTAAGTTCCTCCATTGTCCAAAATAATTATATCTTTTAGGTTGTGCCTTGTCCCATTCTGAAGCAGCTTTTGACTCTTTTTTTTCCCCCAGGCAGGCTCTCATTATGTTGCCCTGGATGGTCTTGAACTTACTTTGTAGACCAGGCTAGCCTTGAACTCATGGAGATCCACCTGTCTTTGGCTTCTAAGTGCCAGGATTAAAGGTATGAGCCACCACACCTGGCTTTGACTCCATTTTGAGAATGTGGTGACTCCACAGCTTGGTAGACAGATGGGCAACACCATGTGTCTGGCCATACCCATACAGCATAACTGACTCTTTCCCAAAAGTACAAATGGTGACAGATTGGGATTGCAGGAACACACTTGTGTATTAAAATCAAGTAGAAACTCAGACTTGAGAATTCAGCAGACACATAGACTCCAGAAAAGGTACAACATGCTCACCTGGACCCCATAAAGAGGAGGCCATCTAACACTTTAGTAGCCCCACCAATTTGCCAAATGATCACCTGGTGTGTGTGTGTCATGTGACTTTCAGGCCTAACACTCTCCAGTGTCTCAGCAGCTTCAGCCTAGCTTGGTCCTGCTGCAGACACAGCCTACATGAATTGTTATCTGCCTGTTTGCTTGTCCATCCATCTGAATCCGCTGTTCACCCCTTGAATTCTGCTGGCGCCTTTCAGCCCTTTGTAACCATTCTGTAACCTACATACAAACAGTTGATGGATGGATGGATGGATGGATGGATTAATGGATGATGGGTAGATGGATGATAGATGGATGGATACATGATAGATATAGATAGATAGATAGATAGATAGATAGATAGATAGATAGATAGATAGATAGATGAATAGATATGGTAGATAGATGATGGATGGATGGATAGATAGATAAATAGTTAGATAAATGAATAGATGATGGGTAGATGGATGATGAATGGATGGATAGATTTATTTACTGTGTTATATAATATATGATTTGAGAGTTTATCATTAAGATTGGAATGAAAGTACCTGTGTTTGTCTTGGCCAGGTTACCAAGGAAAGCTGAACTGCTTGGCAAATTGCTGCCAATGAACTGGGTGTACCTTATGAATTTATTGTTAATAAATGATCAATAAACCCTGACATGGAAAAACACAAATGTCTTTGTTTTAGGCAGCATGCCGACGAAGACTCTCTCCTCTGACCTAACAAGTCTGACTCCCCCAAATCTTCTTCCTGGTAAGTCAGCATACCCCAAATCCCCACCCTGGATATGTGATCACACTTCCCATCTGCAGCTCTCAGAATCTCATCCACCTCTCTTGCCTTCAATGTTCTTATTGATTCAGTAGAGTGAGAATCTTCTTACCCTCCATGTCTCTTCTTAGTCACTTTCTTTTTTTGTTCAAATCGCATGTGTGTGTGTGTGTGTGTGCGCGCGCGCGCGTGCACGCACAAGCATGTTTATTCATGTTACTGTGAGTGCATGAGTGCACATGTGTGAACATGCATGTAGAGGCCAGAGAACAATCTGGGTGTCATTCCTTAGGAACTGCTGATCTCACTTTTCTTTTCAAGACATCGTTTCTCTGTGTAACAGTTCTGGCTGTCCTAGAACTCACTATGTAGACCAGGTTGGGTCCACCTGCCTCATCCTCCCAAATGCTGGGATTAAAGGCGTGTGCCACCACCGCCCAAGTACATAATGGACTATTAAACACAAAAACACTTATTTGTGGAATTCCCCATATTTATTCAATATAGTACTTGTGTAATGTATTTTAAAAATCTCATAAAGCTCAAATACGTAGTGATAGAAAATGACACAATGGTTATCATGAGTGGGGTAAGGGGAAGGGAGAGGAGACAAGGAAATGTAGGTTAAAAGTTATATAATAATACATAATGGGGGTAGAGAGGATGAACGAGTTTAGAGATCTAACACACAGTATGAGGAGCTAGTATGTTACATTGTAATAGGGAGTTTTTGTTGTTATTGAGTAGATGTAGCTGGTCATGTCACATATCACACAGAATATAACCTATGTAGGATGACAGATATGGAATTTTAGCCTGCCCTAGAATGTTATGTATGGACCTCAAATACACATAATAAATTTTATTTTTTTCCTGTATACATTTAATATATTTCCCAGAAACATATGTAGACACACACAAATATATAATGCAGACATACCATCAAAGACATAGGTTAGAAGACATAAATATGTAGCTTGGACTGGGTAAATTTTATTTGTTAAAAAAAAATTGCAATATGCTGAGCTGACTGGCAAGATGTTCCACCCGGTGCAATAGTGGTATGACAGTTTTAGGGGTAACCAACTGCCTTCCACTTGGCTACAAGACCTGTTCAGCTGGAGGAGTTTCATGCCTGGTACTGGTCAAAAAGTCCACGACTGGGGAGATCATAGACCATGGTGGGGAACCTACTTTTGTTGTCATGGTAACTGTCATGCGTTCAAACTTGCTTCTAAATCTTTATGTTAATACCCATAGATTTGTGTTGTTCTCAACTTGGGTCAGAGAATCTTCATTCTACAGTGGCTGGTGAAGAAAGCAGGTCCAAGGGTCCAGTAAAAGTAACTGTGAGTGCTCAGCTGGGATGGAACCTCTCTCCATCCCAGGCTCAGGGAACTTTGAAGAAGAGGAGAGGGAAAGAGTCTAAGAGCTGGTGGATGGGGAGCTGTGAACTGTGGACTCCTGGACACAGCATGGCTTTAGAATCATCAACACCACGGCAGTTCTAGGTGCCCATATAAGATTTGCACAAGATTGAGCCAGCTGACATCTCAGCATGGCTCCTTGGTGGAGGAGCTTTAGGCAGTTGATGGTGCTGAGGGAGGAAGAACTGCTCTCCTTTAGGGATATGGATGCTGGCACACTGCCTGTGCTCTGGGCACACATCTACGCACATGTAGGCTGCACTAACGGACTCGGGAGGTTATTAATAACAACGACAAAAGGTGGACCTGAAGTTGGGTGGGAGGTGGGGTGGGGAGCACTAGGAAGTGTTAGACAGAGGCACTAGAAGATACACTACATTGTATAGGTCTATACAATTTTGGGGAGAATAAATGAAAATAATGTATTTTTTAAAAACCATGATAACGTTCTCTTGAATCAGGTCTGCCTTGAAGTCTTCCACAAGGGCATGAATAGTTCTTTTATTTAACGAGAGCCAGGCTCAGAATTAAGAAAGACAAGAGGCAGGGTATCCCCATTACTGCAAACACCACATCTACCATGAGAGGACAGCTCTGTGTAAAAGTGCAGAGAAGACAGACCCCGGGAGACAGGGCACCTGGAGGCAGAGCACAGGCTCAGACTGTAGCCCCTTCCACCCAGCAGACCTTCTGCTGTGCCACCATCTCCCAGGAGACACCCCAATACTGATAGCCATGCTATAACCTTCTTATGCAGCTGTGAGAAGGGAAGACCAGGTGCAAAGGTGGGGACAGAAGAATCCCCACAGACACGTCAGGTCACCTGAGTTCACTCCCTGTAGGACATGAGGACACAGAGCCCAGGAGCTGGGTCACTGACGGTGGGAGGCAGAACCGAGGACCCACCCTCACCCGGTGGCAGAGGTGCCAGGGCCTGCTGAGCCACTGATGGGCACGCCCTCTTGCACCATGCCTCTTCTTGCATCAGGATGAAAGCATTGCCCTGGATGTCACACGGAGGCATATACATTTATTTGGTCTGATCCCACCCTCTTTCCTGTTCTTCGCCAAACTTCTCTGGCAGGGCCTGTCGGCAGACCTGGAAACCAGGGAAGAACCAAGGGGACCTAGCTTCAAGGAGGCCAGAGTCTCGGGCTCATGATGGAGGAGTACAGATGGCTGCTTCCTGGTCCAGGACTCTGACCTCCACTCACCTTCCTCAACACTGACAACTTGCCCAAGCTCTGGCTCTGTGGACATGGATGCTACCAGCTCCAGGCTGGATCCCAGGTAGGCGCCTTGCCTTCCTTCCCAGGATGGAAGACCCTGGAAATGACCTCTCTCCCAGCTTGTCTGCCACCCTAGAAGGGTGTGCTTGCCCCGTCTGCCTGTGCCAGGTCCCTTTTTGCCTGGACACAAAATCCTTGGTAGCAACCAGGCAGGATAACAGGACACAGAATAGTGAGGGGCCCTCTTGGGTGAACCCTTACTTCAGTAACACAGGATGTACCTATTTCTCTTCTGCTATTTCATAGGAGTGAGGTGGTCCAGTGTCACTCCAAGGGAGAGGGAGAGGGAGAGGGAGAGGGAGAGGGAGAGGGAGAGGGAGAGGGAGAGGGAGAGGGAGAGGGAGAGGGAGAGGGAGAGGGAGAGGGAGAGGGAGAGGGAGAGAGTTGCGTGTGTGTTTTCTGTAATGTGTTCTGCATGTGTGCTGTGTGTGTTATGTATATTGTATGTGGCATATGTGTATTGTATATTATAAGTGACGTGTGTGGTTTGTGCTAATTGGGTCTGGAAGTGAACAAAGGAAGGGTGTGAGCTGTATGTCCCCCTACCCTGAGCTGTTTGGGGGGCAACTCTCCATTTTCCTGGGTTTCTGTTCTTATTCCCCTTCTCCCTTCTCTGCATTCTTTCCCCCACGCCTGCCCCATCCCTCGTGATGTTTTTAAGCTTCTGTACTGTGCATGCAGTGCAGGGCCAGATTCCTGACCCACATAATGACCTGTTGTGCTTTACCTGGCTTTGACTCTGTCCAGGAGGAATCAGGGCTCTGCCCAGTCACAGTCTCTTTCTGTGTGCAGGGCACAGGTGATTCTCACACGGTCCGTGGAGTGCAGAGGCAGACACAGGAGGTGCAAAAGGAGAAATGCATGCTGCAAGGCCGGGGCCAGTGCATGCCCCCAGCAGTTTGAGGCAGAGCGTCCACCCACAGTTCCTCATCCTGCTTTTTGCTTCCTGTACTTTTACGGGATCTACTCGCAGTTAACAGACTCAAGCCTTGGGAATTCTATGAGGACAGCTATTCCCCCTGCCCCCCAGCATTGCAGAGGAACCCTCTGCAAAGGGCTGTCAGACCCTCTAATCGAAGAATAAATGGGAGTCGCCCATGGTGGTACACACCAGTAACCCCAGCACTGGGGAGGCAGAGACAAGAGGGCCATGTAAATTTGAGGCTAGCCTGGTTTGCATAGTGAATTCCAAGCCAGGTTACACAGACTAGGTTATGTAGACCCTCTCTCTCTAGGAACGGGGAGGGGTGTGGCTGGAGAGATGCTCACAAGCTACACACCGGCTGCCCTTTGTCAGGATCCGAGTTTGGTTCCCAGTATTCACATTAGGCAGCTCACAAATGTCTGGAACTCCAGCTCCAGAGGATCGGGCACCCTCTTCTGGCCTCTGTGGGCACCCATACACACATAGCATATACTCAGACAGCAAGACAGATAGGCTCCGAGACAGACCACAGGACAGACCCCAGGGCAGACACGCCCCAGAATAGACCCTTAGGACAAATCTCTAAGGTAGACATTCAGGACACACCCTCAGGCTGACTCTTCTATCATAAGCCCCAGCACTGACAGACCCTCTAGACAGATCCCTGAAAGCAGACACCCTGGGAAAACTGTCTGCAAGACAATATTTCTGGACAGAGATCCATGCCAGTCTTCCAAGCACATGGGGGTGGCTTTCAGGAATCTCTCTGTTACTGGTGGTCAGAGTCTAGTTTAGGAATTTCCAGGTTCTTGGCATCTTATTCAGAAAACTGAAATAAAGACACGCACAGATTAGCGAACGTGGAGAGGACTTTGTTCAAAGCAAAGCAGTAGTGCAGGTCAGAACCTGCCCTCAGAGAGCAGTGGGCCGTGTGAGTGAGGGTACTCAAGGGCCCTGGTTACTGTTTGGGGTTTTTCTTTTATGAAGTTCAGGAGAAGGAGGAGTTTAGTTGCTAGGAGGTATCATGCGGGTGGTTCTTGGTTTTGATTGACAGGCTTGGGTTACATAACCTCTGCTATGCATGTCTTTTCCCATAATGCATCTGATTTTAATCGTATTTATGCCCAATTAGGCCCAGGTAGAAGATGGTAAGTAGCTTGCTCAGGGAACACAGTTTGCCTTATTGTGCATGTCACCCAAAACTGGTCTGGGATGACTCAGCCCATCTCTCTTGGTTCCAGGATGTGTTCTAGGATATGTTTGAATAGAAATGGAACATTATCAAGGGGTAGCAAGGGAAAGGAACTTATTTCCATTGCTTAAAGCAGGTATACATGCAGCCTGGTACAGGTGGAGTCCTGGTTTGCTAAGCTAGTCCCAATTGGTGCCAATCTCATGTTGGCCGAACTCTGCATTCCCAGGGCAGCATTAACTCCTTCCTACACACGGAACAGAGGACAGAAGCCCATTGCAGATACGATTTCCTTCATTGTGCAAGTGATGAGGAGACCGACAGCCCTAACCAGAAGATAATCCCTTACTTCAAAACACATCCCAGTTCACACTGGAAGCATCCCAACACTACCTGCCATTCTATTCAATTATTATATTTTACTTCCTTCTATTATTGTCTCGTTGCCTGTACACACTCACCTGCATGTATGTGTGCATGTGTGCTCATGCAATACAGACTTTTTTTTTAAGAGCTAGAGTCTCATTTAGTGCAATCTGTCCTTGAACTTGCCATGTAGCTGAGGCTGGCCTTGAACTTCTGATCCACTTGCTTCCACATTCTGTCTTAGTTAAGGTTTCTATTGCTGTGATAAACACTAAACCAAAAGCAAGTTGGGGAGGAAAGGGTTTATTTCTGCTTACAACTCTTCTTAGGTCCATCAAAGAGGAAAGTGTTAGGTCCAAAGGAAACTGCCCTTCCCCAAACTCTAAAAGGTAGTCTGAACACCTAGAAATTAGCTCAACCTGGACTATAGGAGGATTTCTGGCAGTTAGATAAAAGCCAGCCTTCCTCAGGAACTTGTGAAACTGGTTCCTATCTGTCAAAGGAGTCATTTCTCTTACCTCTGGCAGGAGGGACATATGGATACCTGTATTGTCTATTAGCACATGCTGGCTGGCCTCCAGGCTCCCTCTGCATCACAAGTACCTGTTACTCGTTTCAAAGTCCATGCTGGCATCCTAGCTCTTCTCAGCTCTACCCTAAACTCCCTCCAGCTCATGGGCTTCTCATTCTCCTTATAACTCTGCTCTTCTTGCTATGGGCACCCGACCTCGTCCGTCTGTTTTGCTACTGCTTCTCCAACTATCTATTCTCTATCTCCTGCTATTCTTCCCTCTCTTGCAGACAGCCCAGGCCAGGTCCAGTCTGCTGGCCATGTTCAGTCTACTTCTTTCTCTTTCTGCTCTGGACTCTTCCAGATGCCTCTGGCTGTTCCTTCTCTTATATCCATAATAGAAATCTTCCCCTTAACCATACCATGGAGTGGTCATGTTGCCATCTTGTACAGAAAGCCAAGGCAGGAACCAGAAGCCAAGAATGAAGTGGAAACTATGGAGGAATGCTGCTTACTGGCTTGTTGCCGATGGCTTGCTCAGTCTGTTTTCTTATACAACCCAGGACCACCTGCACACGGGCAGTACCACCCAGTGGCTGGGCCCTCTTAGACCAATCATCAGTCAAGGAAATGCTCCCACAGGCTTGCCTACTGGCCAATCTGATGGAGGCATTTTCTCAATTGAAGCTCCCTCTTCTCAGATGACCTTGGCTTGTGTCAAGTTGACATAAAAACTAGCCAGCACGCCTCCCAAGTGCTGCACATCCCCCAACCTTTTCAATCTAGGAAGAGCTGTGTGTGTGTGTGTGTGAGAGAGAGAGAGAGAGAGAGAGAGAGAGAGAGAGAGAGAGAGAGAGAGAGAGAGAGATGTGTGTGTGAAGGTGTGGAAGCTGGGGGAGGCTGTTGGATATTCTGATATATCAAGCTCCATTTTATTCCCTTGAGACAGTGTCTCTCACAGAACCTGGAGCTAGAATCCAGCCAGTAAGCTCCAGTAAGCCACCTCCCATAACACGGGTCACAGGTGCATACAGCCACATCTAGCTTTGGATTTGAACCTGGGTCCTTGCACTTACACAGCAAGTGTTCTTACACATTGAGTTGTTGCCTCAGTCCCTGAAAGAAAAGGAAAATTAAGCCAAGTATATACATTTCTAATTGAGCACTTGTGAGGCAGAGGCAGGAGGATTAGTAGTTTAAGGCCAGCCTTGGCTACATAGTGAGTTTGGAGCCAGCCTGAGCTATGTGAGACACTGTCTCAAAAATTTTTAGAAAGGTAATTTTAATGTTAGCATTTATGGTTTAAACTGACTTTTGAAATTCTTATTTCATATACTGCCCAGCATACATATATAACTTGGTGACACACTCTTGTGACCACTACTCAGGTGACATTGTAGACAATTGCTCATAGGCCCAGGAAGGTCTCCTGTGTCTGGTCTCAAGCAACATCTTCCAGAGATCAGCCCTGTGATCACTTCTGTTGTTGTTGCTACAGACAGAGTGACCCTTAGCCCAGCTGGCCTGGAACTCACTGTGTAGCCCCTGCTGACCTCAAAGCCATGGACAGCCTCTAGCCTCAGCCTCTGGAGATCAGGGGTGACAGGTGTGAGCCCCTGACGGTCGCTTTATCGCAATTCCCAGATCTGTCCTTTATAAACGTCATGCAAGTGAGGAATCACTATAGCTATCTCATCCGATTTTCTGGTCCGTGGTGTTGCTGGGGTCCTCTGGAGACACTCAGGTCACCCTAGGAAGCAGCCTGTCACATCGTCCTCTGACCGGCACTTTGTCTGTCTCTGATGATCCCCTCCTGCTGTAGATCTGTCTGATTAATAAGCATGAGAGGTAATTAAACTGGAGTGGCATGAGATGGGATTCAGGGGCCTAAACTCAGAGTCTGATAATGCTCTTGCTGGGTAGGGCCGAGCTTCCGGAGCCAGAGTGAGGCTGGGCCGGGCAGCAGGGGGGCTGTGCTTACCCTTGCTCTCTTCACCCACCTCTGCC